CAGGTTCTGCAATTTTTAGACCAGTTTGTGTACATGGAAATTCTTCTCCTGTAATTATACATATATCTGTGCATTGCCTGAAGATGCCTCAACATCATGGTCTCCTTTGGGGTGAGGCTGAAGACTTGATTAAGATTTTCTCCTTGATTAATGCTTTGTAGGTAAGTTGATAAGTTTTGACAAGTAGGATCATGCATATATTTAGGGGATTTTTATGTGGTGATTGGTGTTTGTTGCCTTATTTATGTGGTGATTGTGCTGCACATGGCTGCCTGCAGGTGAAAAATGATTATTGTATTTGCAGGGAATGCTCTGTGTTTTTGGCGGGATGTTGGATTCTGCTTTCACACAGACGAAGGCCCCTCTCTGGATGTACAACATTGGTACGGAACATGCTAGCCACTCTCTGCCAAGAGAAACTCACTTTAATCTGTAGTAATGTTATATATAGTAATAAATAAGGGCTCAATTGTGTCCTCTGATGTGTATATACACACACATGGCACACCTCCTTTTGGCTTCATTCAGAGCTGTGAGCACAAAACCAGGAGCAGTTTGCTGTAGAGCTTAGGCTGGTAACCACTGAAAAATTAACTTTCATTCTCTTCAGTTGGTTTCAGGAAATACTGATGTAGCAACCCTCCTGGGCTAGAGATTATCAGCAGGTCTTTTAGATATAGAAATACACAAGATAAAATGAAAAATGAAGGGGAAAAAAAAGAACAGTAACAAAACAATTTTAAGACATTCTATATTCAAAAGTCAAATAATTTAGTGTGGTTTTATCCTTAAGTCTAATAAAGGCAAGGCAGGGGTTTGAATGTACCATCTAATACTTACATTTTCAAATCTTATACACTTTGTGTGTTTTCCATTGAACACATACAATAATATAATTCTGTTCTCTTAAATATTATTTAATATTATTTCTGTATAATATATATGCTATCTACTGGCTTAAGCAGATGACTAGGAGTGAAACCTTCTAGCTTCTTTTTTTATTTCACTCTGGAGCCTTTTACACATTTATACCTGCCTTAAAGTGTCCTTTCCTGAGTAGCAGAAAACAAGGATAGATCTTATTTTTGCATTAAGGAAACCTTGAGAAAGACTAGATTACGGCATACTAATTCAGGTCTGCCACTAAAATATGTTGTGTGGTAGCTCACTTTATGCTATTTATGGTAGAGTTTAGCACAGAGGGAAATCTGCCTCAAGATAAATAAGCCAAAAAGGACTCTTAAAACAATTAGAATGGTAATTGTGAAAAGAACAGCATCCTCATGTGGTCCTATATATAAACTACACCTTGTTAAAACAATTCCTCCAGATTCGGCAAGATGGACCGAGTGCCGGCACACAGAAACAGAGACTGAGGTAAGGAGCCAGGAAATGGGAATGTGTGAATCCAATGCATGTTGCTTTGTTGATTAAACAGATTGCTTTGAAATATGTTCCCCAATACAGTTCCAGTCTAGACTCTTTGGGAAGAGATGGCTGTAGAAAAACAGAGCTTTATTTTTCTGCATTGTCTGAAATAGGACCAACTCTTAAGCTATTTTTACAATGCTGATCTTAGAATGCAAGTACTAAGGGCTGTTACCTCTTCTGGTCTGCAATACTTGACTCAGAGTGACCAGTTTTAGGTATGGGTTGCCAGCTTACCTGAGGCTTTATGCTGTTAAAAGGAAGACTGTGAAAACGTAAAGTGCTCAGATATGCTTGGAGAACACAACACCAGCAGAGTCTCCCAATGCCTGATGAAGGGTGTTTGTGCCCAGAAGCTTGAAAAGAACTTTTCCCCAGCTATTTAGTCGGTCTGATAAAAGATATCACATCTACCCAAATAATGTTGCCTGCCTATGTCCTTAGACCAACATGGCTACAGTCAACAACCCCGATTTTGCAGGGTTTTTTTCTGTAGTCACCAAACATAGTCTCATTTTTAATAAAAGCCTCAAAATGTAAGCAGTGACTTCTTCCTTATAAGAAGTCATATGAGGACATTGCGCTGAAAATAGGTACAGTATAAGTGAAAGTATGCCAGTCTCATTTAATAAAATTCATGATCAAGAAAAACTGAAAGCAAGAAGCTCCCCAGAACTAAGTTACTAAGAGTTTCATGTGAATATTTTCATTATTGCTATTTCTTTTTTTATCTGAGTGGTTAGTCAATGTTTGGGACTCTACAAGTCATTTCTTTTAGAAGTTGATGATAGAGTGGTATTTGATGGCTCCTATTCATTTGGAAAAAATACATGAAGTTCTGTTTTCCCGAATAGAAGAGGAATCAAACAGGATATTTTATTTGTCCACAATTTCAGGTTTCTTTCAATTGCCACTTGGCCCCAAAGCTTCCTTTCTTTGCTTTTGTTCCCTGCCCTCAGGGCTTATTCTACTGGTATTTCTTTCTCTGGGCTTCAGTGATATTTTTGCTCCCTCACAAACACCCAGTTTGAGCACCTTATTTAATCAATGTCCTACCCCCAGCATTTGGCATCTAGTGATCAGTGTCCAAGGAACTCCAGTTTCAGCACTTTCTGTTTTTAATGAAGGGTTAGCAGTCCCAGTCTTGAAAGGGGTGTTATCCAATCTACAACAACAGTTTCTATGCATTAACAAAGAGTAAATAAATGGTGCAGTCAGTCAAAGTGATTCTTATTTTATTCCTGAAATATTTTAGAGCACAGCTCCAGCTAACAGGAAAGGCCACAGTGCAGTAGTGTACAGTTCCAGCATGTACGTCTATGGAGGATACTTTGACATCAAAGGAATTTCACAAGAGTTTTGGGCTTTAAGTTTTGGTAAGCAGAAGTTATTCTTATAGTGTCTGATCCAGTGTCCTATGAATTCAGTGACAGTCTCCATCATGACTTCGGTGTCACATGGATTAGCCTTATATCCCTTCTAATGCCCAAGATTTGGCTATATTTGGCATTATATCATTGCTAATTTAATACTTTTTTTCCTGCCCATTCCAACTGCAGAGAGAACCTACACGAGGTCAGTGTTAATGTTAATAGCTTTACATAACCGTGAAGGACCCTGCATGGAGAAGTGCCATTCCTTTGAGTTGAGATTTTAGAAGTGTGCAGGGGTTAGCTGACTACAGATCCTGATTTTTCATGTTTTTAAACAGGATCCCTATGAATCTTTAGCCCCAGCAGCAGTAGAAATGTTCCCCAATATGTGTAACTGCACCCATTCAAACCTGGGGAAACTGGTATTGCACTAGCACATCTTACCCTGGTCCAAGTAGCAGTTTATTGGGCCAGTGCAAATTGTGGCTTTGCCTCTACAGTAAAAGTTTGCAATAGCTCAGCTGAATCAGTGCCTGTCACTGGTGGCACTATTCACAGCAAGGCCTCAGTGCTTAATATGCTAAAATTTTGTCACTGTGGTGACAGAAATTAGGAATTGGAAGAAACTCAGAAATCTTACAAATAGGCATAACATTCATCTACTTCCATAGAGGTATAGAAGTAGAGGTATTTTAAATAAAATTACATCTATTTAAATTAATGTCCTACTCATTCCATGATGCCTACACAGCCATGTGACTTACAAGATTCACTCTGCATCTCCATCAGACAGAAGACCTCATTGGATCATGAGAGATGCAGTTCAGCTAGAAATGAAGGTGGACATTAGCTCTCCAAACTACAACTCCCACAAGAATAATGTAGCAAGGAAATGCTCTTGATAAGCGGAGCAGGTCCTGGCTTCCTGGGGCAGCTGTGACACTCCATTGGCCTAAATCCTGCTGTTTATGCCAGCTCCTCAGGGTATCTTCCATTTTTCCATGCCTTGATGTATTTATTTTCTAGTGTAAAAGGGAGCCTGAGTGAGCGCAATCTGGCTCCACCTTCTCTGGGACACTCTACTGTAGCCTTATTGGTGTCCCAGGGCACTAGTTGCCTTTATGGGCAGTCCGTGGCCTCCTGCCACCCCCACAGCCACACCATTCCGCCTCGCAGATGTTACTCTGTCCACAGTTCAGTCTTTTTGTAGAGACCTCAGCCCTCTGGGGCACTTTTACACATGCCCCGGGTGGGGGGGGGGGCGGCCCTTTAGTTAGAGTGGCTTCGAGTACATTGGAGCAGCCTCTGCGCTCGTCTGTAGGCACCCTTTGGCTTTAGTCCCCCTTTTCTCTGGCTGCAGGCTTCTAGCCCTGGCCCACTAATTTGAGCCCAGTCTCAGCCATCTCTGTCTCTTGACTCCAGCCCCTCAGCCCTGTCTTGTGCCTTGTCCCAGCTTCTCTGGTGTCCCTGACCCAGGGCAAGGCTGCTCTCAGTTCACCCCAGCCCCCCTAGCTCCCTGTTACAGTAAGATTATTTAGCTGTTATGTATGATGTAGTTGCAGCTTCATCAGTCATACTTTTCTTCTGCACCGCTGCTGTGAAATTTCTTTCTAATTGCTGTGCCAAAAACATAGCCTTACTCACTAAGTGTTATTCCTGTCTTAATATATTATTTCCTTAAATACCTACCCTAAATGGCATCTAGCTCCTGAATGAGTGCTCATGTGTCACCATTCACTATACATACAGAATTACTTTCTATCTTCTAACCAGTTTAAAAGACAAAGGGGTTCTCAGTGATGTACCTTCTCATCCCTGGAAAATGGTCTTTCCAGGTCAGAGCTGAGGCATGATAGGTAGACAGCATGAGGAAGCTTGTGAGTATCTACTGTGCATGTAAACGGCTCCCATGTCCACTGCTCCACATCAGGCATTTTCATTAATACTAAACCTCCAAACAGGATTGTGATTAACTATCACGATTTAGATTTTAACATCTCTCATGTCCAATTATGTGGAGAGAAACCTGCTTTCGTAGCTACATGCTGCCTTGTTCTTCAAATGCCTCCATTTTCAGCTACCAGCAGCACTTTTAAAATCTTAAATTTTATCTTTTGCTTCCAGATACAGGAAAGTGGTCATGTATATCTGCCCTATCTCATGACACTGGTCCTGGACCTCGGCATGGTCACTCAGCTGTGGTTTACAGCACAGGCATGTACCTCTTTGGAGGACTGATGGGGCTGAGTGAACAGAAGGATTTATGGAAGTGGGACTTTACAAGCAGAAACTGGTCCAGTATTAGAACAAGGTAAACTTTTTGCATTCAGTTCTCATTAATAAGAGAAGAGTCAATATTACCTTATGATGTTGTTTCCAGGCAAGCAGAAAATTTGCCACAGTAGGAGCATTTGAATCTTTTAAAGGAAAACAAAGCCTTGAAGAACAGAGCACATGGACAGAATCACTTCTTAGAGGCGCAAGAACAACTTTATAATGTCATAGGGCAGGGGCTGGCAACCTATTGCCACTGTGGGGCAACGGCTTGTGACCCAGTCCCTGCCATGGGCTGAAGTCCCTGATGATCAGCAGATACTGCAAGGGGAAGAGAGAGAAAAGGCAGGAGCCAAGGCCCTGGGGATGGTTCCTCCACCGCTGTGGATTCCTTGAGCTACTATGGGTCCATGGGCTGGATGCAGCCTAATGATCCCAGTCTTAGGGATGTTTGGATGAGATCTCAAAGTTGGCAGGGGTTAGAAAACAGATGACAGTAGAGCAGTTTATATTTAATAGGGAGAGGCCAGGCGCAGCAACTGCAGGCCTTATGAGGGGAGCTGCTATTTTGATCCCAGAAGAAGTCTTGCAGAACAAGTTGGAGCACTGCAT